GAGGCCAAATGGGCGTACACACGCTCTCTCTTACCCACACGTATACATGCACGCTCTAGCACACGTGCACACAAACAAATGGCTCTACAGAAAGAACTTGGATTTTGTACAATCCAAGGGGGAGAAGCTGGTTCTTGTCACGGGGTTTGGGGACCAGGGACTCTGGGATGCTAAAACGAGCCCTCACCCGTGGTTCCCCTCTGCTGTGGGCAAACCACTTTAATACTGTCCCTCCAGGATTTACACACCAACTTTACAGGCATGCTGCTTAAATGTCTGCAAAGTGCTTTGCAATGGTTTCTAAATTCTGCAGTGTATGCACAGAAGAACTGCACAGATAGATAGATTTAAGATAACAGTTGCTGAGCATTATTACTGTATATCTACAGCCTATTTTTACATGCTCTATACTTGGTTTCTACGAACAGATGGCAAATGTTCAGTATTGGAACGTTTTAATCATCTTTATAACCCTTTTGTAATTTCATAAACAAGCATAAATAACACTTACATGAAGAAGAGTCTCTCCTGAGTGGATATTCTCTTCCTGTTTGGAAAAAAAAAGAAAAAGAAAAGGCAAAAAAAATATTTTAAAGAAAAAAAATGGGTCCACAAAAAGTCAGGCATGTTTTAACATTATCATGCATAGTGTTTTCTGAATTTCATCTGTGTGAGCTTATAGTTTTGAAGAACATCAAGACACAGAAGGCAGTACAAAGGCAAACAAGATTATTTCTTATCTCATTCAGTGAAAACAGAAAAAAAAAAAAGCCTATATGTTTCAGGAGTAAGGAAACTGCAGCAGTGAAATAAAATGCAAATGCCACGTGACCTGAAGAAAAAGGAAGAACTTTTAACTGCATTCCAGCTCGCTGATAGCCCTGTAGCTCTACGTATGGGTTGCCCTCCAACCTGTGGGCAGCCTACCTTACCCAACACCCTAAAGCAGAGCGTTCCTGCTGCACTTTGGCACTGCGTAATCATTTTTCCATGCCAGCACTCTAGCACCAGCTGCATTCAAACCCAAGTCCTGCAGCCATGGCAGTGAAGGCGTTCTCTGAGGCTGTGACCATTCTGGGCAACAAAGAACCACAACAGGAAATCCAGTAACTGCTAAAATGAACGAGCCTGCCCAGCAGCACATGGGTTTTACCAACCACCCTTGTGCAGCCTCATGCCATCCGCCTGCTGCTGCCCACCCACAGCTGGCTGGCAAGAACATGGACTTGATTCACACTCCCCATCCACCAGCTGAGCTGGAGGGATTTGTGGATGCTCTTGGGGCAGGGTTTAGGGCTGGTACCAATCTGCTTTTCGTTTGTGTGAATGTAGACACACCAAAAAAAGGGACTGAAAGAAATGCAGCAGATGCTGACTCCACTGCAGTTTCAGAATCACAGACCGGCAGCATGGCAGCAGCCCTTCCAATGGCTAGCTGTGGCAGACAAGGGGAAGGATAATGCACAACGGCAGTCTCATTTAATTCCTACTACATTATCTTATATCAATATTAGCTACTCTGTAAGTAATTTAAAGAGTATTGCCTAGAGTTTACATGCCTTGGGATGATACTCGGCTAGCACAAATCAATTAAATCCATGGCACTACAACAGCTGAGGATTCAAGTAAGTATGCATTTATGGGAGAAATTCAACAATTGTTAAATTACTGAATTTTCATCCTCATGCTTTTCTTCCAAATGCCAGAGACCCAGTCCTGCAAGCGGTCCCCCTTTCACATAAGCGAAGTTAGTGATGAGAAGTCAAAGGCACTAATCCTAGTAGTTAATCTATTCAAAGCTGCACTTCTTAAACGATCTACAATTTATTAGTATGACCAATCAAACAAGCATTACTTGCAAAAGGCTTTAACTACCATGGCTTCCCATCCATTTTTATGTGTTGTAATACGGTTAAATTTAAAAGAAACAAATCAGCATAATCTTTTCCGTCATTTGCCAGCGTGATTAAATGCCTGGGTAAGGCACCAGTGTAGAGAGACTCCCCTTACTGGTGGAACTGGCAGTTTGTATCCAAACCCTGGGGCACTGGTAAAAGCTAGAAAGGACAAAATTAAAATAACAGGGGTTTGCTGGTGAGTCTTGAGGTGCATTGAGGAAAATCCTGGGAGCATCACTGCCCTGGAGACCTACTGAAAGGCTTGTGCCTGAGAGTCTCTTTGGAAACAGCCAGCCAACAGGACTTGGCTGGAAGCCACCAAGATGTTGCTCAGTCTTGGCTATGCAGAGTATTGATTTAAGGGAAAACTCACTGAAATATTTGCAACGAGAAGCTGAAAGACAAGTTCATCCCTGAGGTTTTACAAATAGAGCTATGCTCAGGCACAGGGGCTTTCAGAAGCACCGTGCAGAAAGGACACACCGACTGAAAGTGCCTTCCTATCTTCCCCAGCGTTGTTGCACCTCTTTTCACACAAGATTTCAAATGCACTGAAGCCTCCTGCCACTGCCCAATCATTTCACTTCTGCCATGTAAGAAACATCAAGGCAACCCCCCCAGAGCTACATCTTAGTGACTACCAACAACATTTTGCTCTTAATTACAGAAAAGTAAAATGAAATAAATATCAGCAGCATTTGAATTATTCTAAATTTATACCGGACTCTAGCCCAAACTCCCCAAACAAACAAAGAGACACAGGATATTGATCTTGCACCCCCAAGCACGCAACCACCTTCCCAGTACCTCCAAATATCACAGTGCCATCTGCAATCTCCTGCTTTTTGCAAGGTGTGATAGAAAATAACCCTGGGACCGCACAATAAAAAAAATGCAGGTTAATAAATGACAGCGAGAAGCGGCCTTTCGTCTCTCGGGCTGTGGGCTTGGGTCCCTGCCCACACGCGGGGCAACACGGGGACCCCACCGGGAGGAAAGGTGTCTGTCGCCCTCCAGCGGGTGCTGTCTCAAAGCATCGCAAACCATGGGAAAGGTGAGAAGGGGAAGGAAAAGAGAAGGTGAGATGCACGCAAATGAAGAGAAAAAAAAAACCAAACCAACAACACAAAAGCAAAGCAGAGAAAAGGAAGAGACAGTTGAAGAGGAAATACAAAGATGCTATCTCTGAAAGTGCCGAAAATAAAGTTTCCAGTGTCGGTCTAACAAGGGCAACAAAAACAACCTCCCGCCACGCTTGTGCTTCAGCCTCAATTTTACTCCTTGCTCTGGGTGAGTGACACCGTCCTGTTGCTGGCTGCTCAGCTGCTTACACATTTTTCTTAAAAAAACCACCCTCTGGACAATCCCAGCAGCGTACTTCTGGGACAGCCTTCAGGGCAATCTCTCCGTAATACTCATGCAAGGGTAGACAATGCCAAAAAGCAGTCAGCTCACCCAAATCCAAACCTAGAAGTAAACACCCGGCCATCCAAAACATCCAGTTTTTTTTTTGCCAAAGCCTCTCCTCTCCAAATTCCACAGCAGCAGGTTTTAATGAACCGTTTTACTCCCGAACCCATAAAATCTAAACCGGTAGCAACTGTCATCCAAGCACTGAATTACACTGACATGTCTCATGGACGGGGCTGCCTTGCTTTTTTGCACGTCCAAAACTCGAGACATTTTGACATGCAAGTGAAAAAATATTGCAGTTACCAAAATAGCACTATCAACGTAACTAGCTCCTCTCAGAACATTTTCTTAATGCCTTTCCCAATACGGTTAAAAAAATGGGAACTAAAAACTCCATCTTTACACCTTGGTACAAACCATGCTGGAATATGTGTGAGGTTGTGTTTCTTCGTGTTTCCCTGGATCTTCTCCCACTACTTTTTCATCAATGATTTCCTTTAAACGTAGCTCTTATTAAACCGTATAAATCAGCTTCTTCAATTTATAAATACAAAGTTTTGCCACTATCGGAGCTGCCTAAGGAAAACACAGCTCGCCTTCTGTTTCACAAATAACACACACTCTGCACATTTCTTCGCCTGTGTGAAATAAATTCTCCCATGTTCTTATATGGAAACCCTGCATATCCTCCCACACGCTGCCTGGTACAGGCTCAGATGGAGACGGGCATTCACGACCTTAAAGCCAGCGGGTGAGATGTGGACCCCGGTCCCCCCAGCACTCTTGCCCCTTTGCACCATGCTGAGCTCCCCAACGCGCCCCAGGCAGTCCCTTCCCTAAAGCCCATCACAACTTTGATTTCAGCTTCACCAAGGATCAACGAAAAAAATATATAAATAAGCAAAGGAAGCACAGCAGCTGTATTACCCACCAGGTAGGCCCATGAGCATCAGATGGAGCTGTGCCCGTACCAACCTCTTCACTTGAGGTTAGCGCAAGGCAGCCAGAAAAAATACGGTGGGAGGGGGAGGGAAGGAGAGCGCAAACGGGCAAAAAATAGCAGAGATGAGAGGAGCGTGCTCCGCGGATGTTCTGGAGGGCCGCCAGCAAGTGGTTAATTGCAGGCTGCGAACTGTTATCTCGGAAAAAAAGTTAACGTAAGGAGGAGGGGGGAGAGGGAAAAAAAAAAAAAAAAAAAAAGAGAGAAAAAAAAAAAAAAGCCGGGTGAGGAGACAGCTGGAAAGGAGCAAATAATAAATGGAGGGGGAAGGGAACGCGCGCCCGGGGAGGCAGGGGAGGCGCGGACAAAGGCTGGGCGCTGCCCGGCTCGGCACGGCACGGCTCGGCTCGGCTCCCCTTTGTTCCCTCGGCTCGGCTCCGGCCCCACCGCCCTCCCTCCCGCCCGGGAGGCGCCGGTACCTGCGGTCCGCTGGGCGCGGAGCCTGCGCGCCGCTGCGCCCCTGCGGCCGTGCGGCGGAACGGTGCGGCGCGACTAGCAGCGCCGGGCGGGGGGCGCCGGTGATTTATAAGCGCTTTCTTCCTGACCTCTCGTGTCTGTTGTCTAATGAGGGAGCTTTGAGCATCACCCATCCTGCTGAGTGGAAAAACACCGGCACGGCCTCTTCTTTGCTGGGGAGGGGGGAGCCTAAAGGAAGGGGTGTGGGGGAAGGAGGGGCCATGCAGCAGAGCAGGCGGTGGAGCTCGGGCTGGCAACCGGCCGCGGGGAGGGGTTTGGAGGCTGGGGGAGCGGGGCAGCGAGACGGGGGGGGGGTCGGCTCGGAGTCCCCCCGCTTCTCCCCGGGCCGCCCGGAGCCGGCCCCGGGCCGGGGGAGCCGCCCGCAGCCCCGCGCCCCGCTCCCCCCGGCTGGGCTGCTCGCTGCCGCACAAAGAGCGCCCTTCTCGCAGACAAAGCATCCGCCCGAGGTGTCACCGGGGCTGGCCGGCCCTTCGCCCGGCTCCCCGGCTGCCGGTTTGGACATCACATACTCCGGGATGAAGCGCGGGGGAGCTCGGCCGCCGGTCCCGGTGCCGCTCCGGCAGGTTTGGGGGTTCTCGGTGGGGCTGGAGGCGGCGGCAAGCGGCGGGGCCCGGCAGGTGCCTGGCTCCCGGCTCTCGGCTGCCGTCGCCTCCCAAAAAACGCAGCCCCCGGCAGCCCGGCTCCCGGCAGCACAACGGAGTGAGCCTGGGGGCGAGCAGGGCAGCGGTTTGTCCTGCCTTGGCTTGCGCTGCACCGAAAGCCGGTGCCTTGCTCCTGCCGGCGAACGGGGACACGATTGGGGTGTGTGTCCCCTACCCTCATCTCCCGCAGTTGTGTTCATACAAGGATTCAGCAGCGTGTGGGCTCGCTAGGCATTTTCCTTCAGCCCCTGCAGGAGACTTGGTGAGATACGCCGTACCGTGAAATACCGGTTAGTTACAGGGGCAGAGCAGCTGGAAAAAGGAGATCCGAGGGCGTCAGCATTTTGCAGAAGTCCCCGGGTGCTCACCGTGAGCACTGGGACCCGCAGGGATTGCTCACAGAGGAGCACATACTCCCCGCATCCCAGCTCCCCAAGGCTTTCCCTACCACCAGACCCCACCTGCCCACACCACACACTAGGCTGGCAGTCACAGAACGACACGGCTGTGAAACCCACCGCCTACACACAGGCTGCTGAGGGGCCAAATTCCATCAGGGCAGTCTCCAGGGAGGTCTCTAGAAAAGGCTTTTTTCCTTGGCTGGCTCATGCAAAAACACAGAGAACCGCATTCCCTCTGAGTGCTCATTGCTAGCAGTGCAGGACGCTAGGTACCGTGTGCCACAGGCACACTCATTTTGCCTGACTCCGGTGCAGTATCCAAGTTGATTTGGTCCCTAATCTGAAAAAAGAGATACAGGTATCTGATATGTGCAGCTAATCGAAGAGCTATCTCCTCTAAACAGACTGGTTTAAACTAATTACACGATGTAGTGCATGCTGCCACCTACGCCTTCTGATTCAGGTTTCTGGTGTATTGCAGCTCTGGATTCCTAGGCATCGTTTGCTGAAGGCAGCCAGCATTTTGTGAGGCTGCACGAGGCACCACAAACACAGGCGGCTGTGGCCGCACCAGGGAGCAAGGCAAAACATTTCTCACCGGCGCAGACACATGTTGAGTTGCGGTGAGGATGCCTCGAGGCTGACCAGGAACCGGCAGTCACACCAGTGAAATGAAAAGTAGTGGCTGGAGCTACATGGTGCTGAGGATCCTGCCAGCACAGCTGTACCACTGACAGCAGCGGAACATTTTGCTCAAGTTCTCTAGAGGAATCAAAGCCTGTATTTTCTGTCTCTGGCCCTCTCTTGTTCTGTTGTTCCATGCTCTGTAAAAGAAAAGTCAGCCACACGCAGCACATGGTTGCTCTCTGCGTTTGAAAAAAAAAAAAAAAAAGTGTTTTGGGGAAGAAAACCACAGCCAATGCTGTTTTGAAGTCAGAAGCATGTAAACAGTACCTGGAACTAAGTGGAATAATAATAATAATTAGTCCTTTTGTGCCATAAATATGTGCATTGCTGCCTGCTGTTTCATTATGAGACAGCACGACTTCTGAAAATGTGCCTGATGAATATTTGGGGGCACACTGCCTTCAGCTGCAGCGGCGTATAGCAGCTCAAGTGCCTCTGGCTCCTCCAGCTCTTATGTAACCAAAATCACAAGTTAGAGCCCAAATTACAAAGCAGAAGCATGTGTATAATATTAAGAATATAAGTGGTGCCTTAAATTGCTATCCTTTTACTGTAGGTCTGGCTTTAATCTGTTACTAATTTTAGTCCTGCAGTTCCATTGATTTCGATGTGTGGTGGTGCCATTAATAGCGGAATCAAGCCTAACCCCTTAAAAACCCACCATGAGAGCGTTAACCCAAACTTAAGTAAGTCAGGCCAAAATCGCTGTGGTTACAGGTAGGTGTAGTTCATATGACTCGTATACCAGATCCAAAACCTATCCAGTATTAAGATAGAGTAGAAAGCCACAATATAATGTTCCCATGACTGCTTTGCACATCAGCCAGAGCTGCAGGTTTTTGCACATTTAGCCAAGGCACAGGTTAGTCTTCCTTTGTGTTCTGCCTCTTTCTGGAGCCCATATTCCCCATTCACACGCTGATCTGCTTTCTGGAGTTTTAAGGTGTTGGATGCTGATACCGTGAGCGCCTCTTGTGTCTGTTTAATCCAATAACATAACTCGTCTTTAATCTCCACGTCTGGGTCACAGGTTTTAAAAAAGACACTGGGCCAAATCCCCAGCTTGGCTATAACGTGTGGAAATCTACCGAGAAGGCACGGAAGTCAGAAGAGATTTGCTGTATCTGCACCCTGCAAAGGAGGTCTCAAGGGGCAGTGATGTGAGTGCCTAATTTCGCAGATGGATGCGTATTAACACAAGTCTGCAGCAGAGGTGGAGCAGATTTCTGTCAGGTGAGGCAGCTGGAGGGAGGAATATCACACCAGGATCTAAAATATGCTCCACCAGGATCTAAAATATGCTCATCAGCAAACTCTCCTTCATTTTCAAATCAGAGTGGGTTTAATATTTCTTGCTTTTTCAGGACAAAAACTTGTTTCTTCTCAACCTGTGCCTGCTGAAGGAAACACACTCAGGACCACAGCAAGGCAAGAACAAGGAGCCAGTTTTGCAGGGGTTGGGAAGATTTTGCATATAAATATTAAAATAAAAAATCAAATTTTATTCCAAATGCAAAGTCCAGCAGAAATTTAAGGGGCAAGTGCAGAGCACTGTCTGTAAAGAAGGGCATAGGTGAGAATAGCAAAAAGATGCTCTGAATAAGCTGACTGCAGTAACAAGTCTCCAAACACAACTTTCCTATATAAAGCTATACAGGGGCAGCCTTTGGGGTTCCCCTGTGTGGGAAAGGACCATGAGCCTGAGAAGAGGCAGATTTTGTGAGGGATTTAAACATCATGTAGTGACTCTGGATTGCAGATTTTAAGCATTACTAAATCAGGGGACAGAACTGTCGCTATTGCTATTACGTACCAGGATATTTCACTAATCCGTGCAATCCACTAAGTTGCTGTAGTTTTAGTCTGTGTTTATTTTAGATGAAATTATGGCCTGGACAGTTAATTTTTTGTTAGTTTATCCATTTAAATCATATACAAATAAAATACCAAACAGAAATCAAAACATGACCTGTGATTTTGGTATACTTCCCATCACGTGAACCTGCCGGTGATGGAATCAATCCACCCAGTTTATCAGTCAAACCCAAAGACAGCTAAAAACCACAGGAATTCTTGAAAAGTAGCCCCGTTGGCTTTAAATTCTATTTAAAATGTGATTTTAATACTACTGCTGGTGGCCTATTTTGTTTATATTACAAACTGCCCAGCCATTATGGGATTGCTTCCGCTGATCGTTTCCCTACATCAAGCTAATTACATATTAATTTGAGGCATTTTGCACGTCTCAAAGGCTAGAGTGGGCCCTTTCTGAGCAGCGGGGAAGTCTAGAAATGCCTGTTGCTTTACAGGAGCTGATTCCTCCAGTGAGGGGCAGACCCAGAGGAACCAAACAGCCTGGACTGAAGCAATCACACGTGTTTGTGGAAGAAGTTGAGTGTCTCAGGTTAACTGACAGTCAGCTACCTGGAAATAAAAAGCTCTCATGTAACCAAAGGTTTACACTAAGATTTTCAAGAGCTCTTGAGCAATTTCAAATCCCTTAGAGGAACGTAGTATGGAATAAAAACTATAGGTATTATTAAATAATGTCTCCAAACTGAAAGCCAGCCAGTTTCATAAAAATGAGCTAAGAAGCAATAACAGATACTCTGTCTCTTGCTGGATGCATCATGAACCGTATGTTTTGTATTTTTTAAGTCATGCCAAAACCAATTTTTTTCTTTGCTGTTGTCATTGGGGAAAGACAGTCAAAGAGCTATGCATAAAATGAGGTTAAAGTAATCTAATTAAAACAAATAAACAATGTGCTTTCATCTTTAATTCATAACCAGTCATTTGGGATCTAACTTTAAAAAAACAGATAAAAATTCAGAAAGGATTTTGAAGGATGACTGTTTCCCTTTAAGATTAATGATAAACATACTTGTGTATTCAAGGGAGAATAGATCCAGTGTTATGTAACAGGATAAAGAAACAAAATCCTTTTTCCTTAAATTAAAATAACCAGTACGTGTGTGGATTTTAGTCAATCACCGAAAATTCAGGAAACCCATTTTCTTTCACAACTGCATTCCATATGCTAAAAATTGAGGTCTTGTAACTTTTAAACAGGATCACAACTAAGGACACAAAAGATTTGTTTGTCCTGTTTGTCCATTCTTTTCCAGTAGATGACTGTTCCCTGAGAAAAACACTGTAGCACTTGTGCTGTCCAAAAATCCAATTTTTTGCCCATCTTTTCATTTAATGCAGCATAAGCAAATCCTGTTATTGCACTTCCCAGGAAATTCTTCTTTTTTAATCTACTTGCCTAGTACTAGATGTATACTAGTAGATGTACTGCTTATATCTTTTCACTTTTTTTTTTTTTTTTTTCCTGAACTAACAGCTGCGTAACAGCTCTTATCAAACCTTGCAATGCCTACCTAAATTTGCCGCTTACTTTAATGGGACAAGATCAACAGGTAATGGATTTTTTTTTTAATATTGGCATTGTTCTCTGCTGGCTTAATCATATAAAATGTGCAAAAAAAGAAGAGAAGAGAAGAGAAGAGAAGAGAAGAGAAGAGAAGAGAAGAGAAGAGAAGAGAAGAGAAGAGAAGAGAAGAGAAGAGAAGAGAAGAGAAGAGAAGAGAAGAGAAGAGAAGAGAAGAGAAGAGAAGAGAAGAGAAGAGAAAAGAAAAGAAAAGAAAGGAAAAGAAAAGAAAAGAAAAGAAAAGAAAAGAAAAGAAAAGAAAAGAAAAGAAAAGAAAAGAAAAGAAAAGAAAAGAAAAGAAAAGAAAAGAAAAGAAAAGAAAAGAAAAGAAAAGAAAAGAAAAGAAAAGAAAAGAAAAGAAAAGAAAAGAAAAATCTTCTACCAGAGAACCTACATTTTCCACTTCTGTATTTTACAAGAGCATTCATACCAGAAGTTGTGCATCAGAATTTGATATATAAAGTTCCTCTTTATCACATGAATTCAATTTTCCAAAAGAAGGCAAACAATACTATTAATAACCAAGATACAAGCCCTGAAAAGGCTAAAGCTTGTACTTGCTGCAAAAAAAATGTCATCTTGTTGGATCTAATTCTGGAGTCAGTACTTCACACAATGCAGAACAGGCAGCGATTTGCATAGAAAGGCACTGCTGAGTTAAGGTGATACTCACTCTTGCATGACAGAAGCATGCAGGTGCTTCACTGAGCTCCTCGGAGCTTTGTCTGCAGACCAAAGTAAATCATGCTTACATTGGCACGTCCTTGCACATGTCCACACTTCAAGTTTTTAGTCCTGAGAGCGAAGCCTTGAGTCTGGGCACTTTAAGCAGCATTCCCCCAGTGGAGAAAGTCCTCTATTAGTGCTACACCAGCAGCACAAGGTGTGCTCAGAGGTGCTGCTGTTTGCCTTGTAACAGAACAAGGCTGCAGTGATTGAGCTGATCAACATTTTGGGCTCTGCTGCCTCCCTTTTCCTCCTCCTGCTCGGCCCCCTTGGCCTGGAGTGCCTGCCTGGTGCAGCAGGGCTGTGCTGGGCTGCCTTCCCTCCCCACTTCCTCAGCGGTGCGGTGACTGTGTGCTCAGCTCCCCGTCCCTTCAAATGCCCCAGCACATTTTGAACGTGCCTCTTTCCCTGCTAATAACATGCCCGTCATGCTCCGGCTAAATATTCTGCCTGCACAGAGATTTCCTTGGCCTCGTGTGCAGGACTGATCCTGCAGAGCTGGGATGGTGACACTGCGGAGGCGATACAAAAGCTGGAGGTCACAGGCTAGGAGATGGGGAAGAAGTTGTGGCAGACACACTGAAAGCAGTAAAAGGTCAGTGGGGTCTGAGGCTGCCATGCAAAACCACTTCCATTCCCACTTGGAGCCCCTCACCATGCTGGGCAGGGTTGGCCCGGCCACATTCTGGGTGACAGCGGGCATCGCAGTGGAAGGTAGCCCTGAAATTCCTGGTGGTGAGCTCGCTGATGCAGCCGAGCCCTCTGCTTACGTGACTGATCAGATGAGCTGATGGATTAAACTCAGCAAAGAGGAGGAAGTGGGATCACTGGAGTATACTCATACAAGCTGGTATTTCTTTTTATTTGCTTATGGGTCCCTCTGCTCCCTTCCCTCTCAAAGTGATGGTGAAACACTTATGAAAGAGTGTATAAAAAATGATTTTAAAGTACCTACTTTATTCTAACAAATTACATTGGCTGCTGTAGGCAAACACTAACAGAAAATACTGTAAGAGACAAAACCATTCCCAAATGCACACTTTTACCAGTTGAGACAGATAGAGTTTCTAGCTAGGTGAATTAATGTACTGTAAGCAGAGAGAGAAAGAGCATCAAATGCTGGAGCATCAACAGAAAAAAAAATAGAGAGAAAATTTAAAATAAACCCTGCTAGCTATCCAGCAACTGCTCGTTCAGTTACATGATTTTAATTAACAGAACTGGAAAGCAAACATGTAATATAAACTTAAAAACACAGCACTTTGGTTTTCCAGACTACCAGTCCAAATGCAAAACAAATTGCTTGCATCTGGTGGCTGGGGCAGGGGAGGCAGAGCCGGCTTAGGGAGCTCTGCCTTTAACCAGCAGAGCGAGGCAGCAGCATCCACTGTACTACCCACTTATGGTGTCAGACAGCTCCTGGCACGCTCGTGCCCGCCGTTCTTTGGCCCAGCCTGGGCACAGACACTTCAAGCATTGCTCGCGTGCTCCAAGGAGGATGCCTCGGCTTTCACCGCCGTGGCAGCACGCTGCTGCGGAGGGCAGCAGTGTCACTGTGGAGGGGCCAGCGGCTCACAGGCTTGGGTGACCTTGAGCCTTCCTAAGCAGTTACCTTTTCTGGGCCTTTGGCATGCTCTCAAGCGATCTTTCAGCCAGAATCTCCACTGCCTAAAATAAATTCAGCAATATTCACCGTGACGTCCCTGCGCTTCTCATTCAGGATACCTGACTCTAGCTCCCAACCTGGGCAGACGCAGGCTTCGGAAAGTTTCCCTGGCTGCTTCCTGGGCAGATTGCTCCTGCCCTGGCTCAACACCAGCGTGACTCACAGCACAGTGTTGTTAGGAAAGGCAGAATTTTCGGGAGTTTTCTTGCATGTCCCTATATGCCAATGGTGTGTCGTGCTGTCTAGAAGTGGCCTTGACAATGGTATTTATGAGACATTTCCTTCCCACCTTCTGAAAGGTTGACCCGGTTAGGAGAAAGAGAAACTGGAGTGAGCAGGACTTGTTCTCTGACCTTTGCCAAGCTTTTGCTGTGGAGCCTTAGGGAGAAGGGGCTGCTGGTGAGGGGCAGAGCTCCCCTGGGAGCCATATGTCTCAGAGCAGGCAAACTCAAATGTTATGGGAGAAAAATCCTCCCCAAATAACCAGCAGCATCAGCCTCACACCCTGCCTGGCCAATGCATGGATACACACCTTGTAGTTCCAGCCTTCACCTTGGAGGCCCCACATATCCCCACCAAGTCTTTCCTCTGTATAACCCAGCCAGAAACGAGGACAGCTGACAGGACTGAGGGGCACAAACCATGATTTGGGAGCAGCCTCCACTTTGCATTGGGCTCTTTTCTGGTTTTAGAAGCACCATGCTTTCTGCAAGTTGTGAGATGCTTACTGTGCCTTAAAAAACAGAATCCCATCTTCACCTCAGATGCAGTTCATAAAATGTGCTAACAGTTCCTTTAAAATTCCCATCTACATGGAATAGCACATAATCACAGGGCTGCGTTAGCATGAAGCCATACACCAAACGAGCTCGTGAGGCATCCCTCTGTCTCCAGGCGCGATGCAGGGCTCCGTTACCTTGGGCTCAGGTTTGTGGGGTGCACCCCAGCCCTTTTGCCCCACTTAGCTCCGCAGCTGTTACATCAAACACAGCACACAAGTGACATCGGGGGGTTTGCCTCACTGGGATCCACCCACACGGGAGATCCCACTGGGATGCTCGCAGCCTGACAGCTCACGAGCACTGCGCGCTCTGCCAGGTGTGTTTTCCCTGCCGGGTGCCCACGCACTGGTCCC